GCAAAAGATCCTGGCCAATCTTCTCTGTTGGCCCCTGTGTGGCCCCCTGTGCATCTTGACCCCACCCACCTACATGAGTATAAGTGTTGTGGCCCCACAATTTGAGATGTCAGCCAGTTTGATTTCAAGAGTCAATATTCTTCAGAGGGCAGTGTTATTGTACATTTTAATGGCCAGAAAACAGAGATGGCCTCCTGTAATTTCAAAAAGAGAGCAGGAACGACGCAAGAAATTCCGCCAGAGGCTTTCAATGGACCTGGACAACACAGCTTTGCGAGTCCAGAGGGCAGAGTCAGAAAAAGAGCAAAAAAAACAGAAATTTCGCAAACCTCACTGGCCTCCAGTGATTTCTTTGGAGGAAAGCGAAAGGAGGAGATGGTTCCGGGAAAGACTGGAGAGAAGGTCTTCTCCGCAAGCCACCCCATCCACTAGACGGTCTAGGAAAGGCCTGCAGAGAGAGTCTTCTCCGCAAGCCACCCCATCCACCAGTCAGCAGTGGCCTCCAGTGCTTAAGGATGTCAGAGTATCAGGTGAGATCTTTAAACTATGAAAGAATGTAAAAGAATAAATTCATGTAAGAAGCAACAAATGTCTAATATATATATATATATGTATGTATTTTTGCCTTATACAGTTCCTACATGCGCATCACTGGCTGTGCTCCCTCCTCCATCAGCTGTAGCTGATGCAGCCCTTAAACGGGTGCCAAGGGCCACAGCCTGGAGAAGAAAGAAGAGGGCCGAAGAGGACAAAAAGGCCCTAATGCACAACAAAGCCATTGCACGGCGAGCAGATCCAAAGGGATATCCATGCAGATTGTGCGGACAGCCAAAGAGACTGGAGTTTGGTCACAGTTTCTTCAGAGGAAAAAGTTTCTGTGCCACCGCAGCTGGAAAGACAGTTTCTCAATGGCTTTCTGAGCAGAAGAGGGTTGCAGCCGCAGACAATGTTGACGACGTGCCTCGGACAACTGCCTGGAGGAAAAAGAAGAGAGAGGAAGCCATTGCACAGGGCCTGCCTCAGAAAAGGCCAAAGGAATGCAAACCGCTGACTTGCTCTCTGTGTCAGCAGCCAAAAACCAAGGATTATGGACACTCACGGTACGGTGGCAAATCCTTTTGCAGCAGTTATGAGGGCAAGACTGTGGAACTTTGGCTGGCAGAGCAGCGGTCTCTTGCTCCCCCTAAATAATTGCCACTGTATTTTTGTTTTCTTTATCTTAATATTTTATTATCTTTGTTAATTTTATTAGAGTGAGTGTCTGTTTGCAAGTAGTTCAAGTAGTTTAGTTTCTGCTGTTAATAATTTTTTTTCTGCTAAAGATTTATTTTTTACAAATATTTGTATTTAGTGTTTTTTTTTCTTTGTATGTTTTTGTCCCTATTGTGAACTATTTAATAAATAAAACTGTTTCTAAGTAGTTTCCTCTGTTGAATGTAAAGACTTTTTAAAATATTTGTATTTAGTCATTTGTTTACACGTATATATTTTTAGAATTTTTTAAAAATGTGAACTATTTGATAAATCTTTTATTATCTTTGTTAATTTTGTTATACTGCTTCCGCTGTTGATTTTTGTTTTATTTTAATATTTGTATTTAGTATTTTATGTACATTTATATCCTTTTTCTAATTTTTTAAAATTATTTTTTAACTTGTTATACTGTTTCTTACATTTTTCTTTTAATATTTGTATGTATTTTGTTTACATTTACATATATTTTATAATTTTTTTCTAATGTGAACTATTTAATAAATCTTTTCTATTATCTTTAATTTTGTTGTACTGTTTCTGCTGTTAATTTTTTTGTTTTAATATTTGCATTTAGTTTACATTTATTTATTTTTTACCCTTTATTTATTTTTTTCAAGTGTGAACTATTTAATAAATCATTTATCTTTGTTAATTTTGTTGTACTGTTTCTGCTGTTACTTTTTTTTCCGTTTTAATATTTGCATTTAGTTTACATTTATTGTTTTATCCTTTATTTTTTCTAGTGTGAACTATTTAATAAATCTTTGATTATCTTAAATTTTGTTGTACTGTTTCTGCTGTTATTTTTTTCTGTTATTTATATATTTGTGTTTAGTAATTTGTTCACAATTATATATTTAATACTTTTTATATTTTGTTTCTAGTGTGAACTACTTAATAAATAAACAAAAAACAGACTGAGATGTATTTAGGGGATTAAATAAATTCAACTTAGTTCATACCTTTATAATAAAGTTTATTTAAAAAAATGTATATAGCAATTTATTTAAAAAAATAGGAACATTAGAATGCTAATGAATCATTTAAAAAAGCTACACAAATAAAATAAATGGTTGAGACAGTTAACATGACCTTCATAAAGGCAAATAAATGTTCTAAAATAAAGCGGTCATTTGGGACTATTAACATGGCCTTTGTGAAGGCAGATAAACATTCTAAAATAAAGAATAGTCTTTTATGACTGTTTAATGACCGTTATGAGGGGAAATAAGTGTTCTAAAATAAAGAACAATCATTTAAGACAATTAACATGTCCTTAATGAATGCAAATAAACCTGAAGGTTTTGATCTATTAATGTAACCTTTATGAGGGCAAATAAATGTTCTCAAACAAAAGAACAGTCATTAAATGTTCTAAAATAAAGAATAAATATTTAGTACAGTTTGCATGACCTTTATGATGACAAATAAATGTTCTCAAAAAAAGAACAGTCATAAAGTGTTCTAAAATAAATAATTATTTAGGAAACTTTATATGTCCTTTATGTAGGCAGATAAACCTTTTGAAATAAAGGACAATCATTTTGGACTACTTACACAATCTTTATTAAATACAAATAAGATATTTGATATAAGATAATAAGCAAAAGATATGTACAATATTTACAAACAAAACTATTTACAGTGAAGGATTTCCTTCATTCCTCTTCTCATGCAGCCACTCTTTTAGTGTCTTTCCCTCTGCTGTGGCACAGAAGTAGAAGCTGCCCACCCTGGTGTGCCCAAACTCTTTTTTTCTGGGCTGCCCACATCGAGTGCACGTGTGATCTTTTCGTGCAGGTTGCTGGGAACGGGGCAGCCCTTGCTCTTGAGCTAAAAACTCTGCTGCCTTCCTCTTCCTCCACAGAGTTGTTCTGCTCATCGATGTTCCTGCTGCTGGAGCAGAGAGGGATGCTGCCAGTGGAGCAGAGAGAGACGCTGGCCATGGAGCAGAGAGAGACGCTGGCCGTGGAGCAGAGAGAGCGGGTGCTGATGCAGGGGGAGGAGGTCGCTGCCCACGTCGCGTGGCCTGACCTGACAGATCAGGGTTTTCAACATAGGGGAAAGGTTGAAGTGATGACCCAGGTGCAGAGGGCATTGACGTCATCTGCCTGGCTGCAGGAAGCTGGGTGTGAGACACCATGCTGATCTGAGGTAAGGGCACACTCAGAGCCAGCACATCTGCCTCCAGCTTCTTCCTGTAGTTGTTGTACCTGTTTGAAATGACACAATTAATAGGATGAACATAATCTGAGAATTGTAAAATTACTTTTATAGCTGGCTTTCAATGAAACTACTTACCAGACAGAAAGCGTCCGCTGATTGACCTCAAACAGCTGAATTCTTGTCCGTCCCCTCAGTGCTGGGCAGTTCCCCACCAGTCTCCGTATGGCCTGGTAGTCATGTAGAATGGCAGCCCAGCGGTTCATTGAAACGCCCCACTTCACCTTCCCCGCTGGATGAATGGACCAGAGCTCCAGACATACTGCCTCTACAATTCTACTAATATTTGGCTCCAGACATACTGTCTCTAGAATTCTACTAATATTAGGCCACTGCGCAGGACCCGAGCCCTGCCCCAGCACACACCTGTAAAATAAAATAGGGGATTATAAAGCATAAAAAGCATAGTCATTTATATTTTTACAGCTCAAAGTGTGCAAATGTTTAACTTACCGCTTCAGGCTCTCTTTTCCATGGCAGGTGGAGGTTTTGGAGTGGGTGGCCTTGAACCTGCCTTGCAAAAGTCTCTCCTTGTGTCTCGGCGGATAGGAAACACCCTGTCTGTCACTGTCCGGCAGTCTGTCCCACAGCCGAACGATGTCAGTGGCTTCCCTGTCCGAGACACAAGGCTTTTCCCTCAGCTCGACAAGGTATCTGGCCAAGTCCACCACTCTGTCAAAACCTGGCGTCCCGTCTGGTCCTCTGCACACCTAACAAGAAGAAAGAAGATCAGTTAGTATGGATGAAAAAGTCCTCCAAGTGATGGCATGGCAAAGGATGCTTGTATGCATACATACATCTTCCTGGGGCTCAGGTGGCAAGTCCTGGGAGGACTGAGAGGGTGACGGTGAATCCCGAGACAAGCATATAGCTTCCTTGGTTGAGACTAAAGAAAGAGGGGAGATGGTGTGGTCCTGTTCCTCTGCCTCATCCCCAAATCCCTCATCTTCTATATCGCCCAAGTCCGCTGGGATTCCGTCTGGGACATCTGGGTCCCGCCCAAAGTTCTCCCTGAACTCCCAGGACTGCTGCGAGCACAGGTACTCCACCCCGATGAGCTCGCCTGTCAAAAGAAAATTAAATAGAAAACAAGGTTGTAAAACAGAAGTCTGTGCATTACAAAAAAACAACAAAGCATGACATTATAGACACATACCTGTGTACTGTCCTGGCTTGGAGTAGTCTTGTACAAGACTACAGCCAAGAAGACGCTGGCTGAGCTCATTTAGGCTGTGCTGGAGTGAGCCACTGTAGCAGCGCAGCGACAAGGGAGCATTGTGTGTGACGGCAGCAGCAGCGCGGTCCTCGTTCCACCGCTCCAAACCCTCAAGCAGATAAGCCTGGAAATTTTCCAGGTTAGCGCTCGTTCCTGATTAAAAAAAAGGAAACATTAACACTAATTTAAAATGACAAATGACATGAAATAGACTATCACAAAAACACACCTCGAGGTGGATGTGTGTAATCTTACCGGGTATGAAGCGGTTGAGGTGGTTATGGAAGGACTCCAGGGAAGTGGACCCCCGAGCGCAGCGGTACACAGGAAGTGTTAGCCCTCCCTTTGTAACACTTCCTGTCTGGGTGTACAGCTGCACTCCAGGAGGGTCCTGGATGCAGGGAAGATGACGCCTTTGAGTGTCCCAGATGACGTCCATCCTCTCCTGGTCCATCAAGGGGATGCCCATGGTTTCCCTGGCGTCCTTGAAGGCCTCCAGCATCTGTCCGATCAGCTGCTCTGTCTCCTCCACGCCACGTGTGCAGCGGCGGTAGTGCTGCGCCAGCTGTCTGGAGGTGAGCCTGCCGGTCAGCTGCTCATCAGTGAGGCCTCTGATGCCCTGCTGTTGCTCCAGCTCCCTCCTTTTCGCCTCCCTCAGCAGGGCCACATCTCCCTCGTCCCAGACGAAAATGCAGGCAGAGAGCTTTGCCATGAACAGACCATAGAGCGGGTGGCTGTCAGTGTGCAGACCTGCAGCGAAGCGCCGCATGAAGTGCCACACATCGAGACGAACCACCAGATCACTCCAGCCGCTGAACATGGCAGCTGCTCTAGATGTTCCCACAGAAGAGCAGCAGTCTCTGTCCACATACAGGAGCGTGGGGGGAGCGACTCCAGCCGCCTCGAACCTCCTCACCAGGCCCGTGGTCATGGGCAGCAGTCCCTGACCTTCATGTGAGGTGAGCACAGACATGAGGACCTGTCCGTGCTCATTGCCCACATTGGTGACCCAGGCTGCGGTCCCAGCTGCAGCTCCCGCCAGTTTTTTGGCCACCTGTTGTCGGAAAACAAAACAATTCAATGAGCTCCAAACATGCCTTACATATACAAAGGATTAAATCTATTTAAAATAATCTGTGATTAATACGTTACCTGTTTTGTGGAGTCCATTTTCAGGATGGACCCAAAGACAGAGGTGACCCTGGCTTTTAGCTCACTATACCGGGACCGGACATCCTCTGCGTGGACAGAGAGGAGCCACTGGGCAGTTGGTACAGGTGGCATCGGAGGTGGAGGTGTGATGGGCCGTGTGGTGGTGCCCTGAAACCGGTCACACGCAGACAGGTACTGCAGGGTCCTCTCCATCCAGTCCTCACTATGCTGTTCACATAGTTTGTGATATAACATTGTGGCGCTGTTGCCGAGAGAGCGCTCCCTCATCAACTTTGCCACATGCATATCACAAGAGAACCTGTTAAAATAAGCAGACAAACCAAGGCAAAGTTTATAAAAGTTAATTTAAAGTGTTATTCTTTTTCTAAAGCAAAGGTGTGATGTTTCCCACACACACAAAAAAACTGGGCTCAATGGGGGGTCGTTAACTCCTGAATAGGTGACGGGTGCAGTGTCTCAAGGTGTTGGAATGCTATTGTTCTGAGTTTGACACCTCTGAAAGGTCAAGCTAAGTTCAATGAAGGGTCGTTCACACATTCTGAATAGAACCTTGACTCGCAGACACAGTGTCTTGTGAAAAAACTTCAAAAGAAAGATAAGGCTTGTTTTGTGTACAAATTACGTGTAATTAATTTTAAAAAGTAAATGTTATTTTAAAGTCATTTAAGTTGCATTATTACCATTACAGCCTAGTTAATGGTGTAACATTTTAGTAGTTAACTGCACCTGCCTATGTATTTTTGCCTACAATAAGAAAATTTTTTTCATGACTCACCGGTAAGTGAGGATAGCTGGGAACATCCTGCGGTGAGCCGGATCCAGCTGGTCCAGGATGTCGTAGGACCACGCGGCCAGCTTTTTATGGCAGCGCTGACACTCCAGGTATTCCGTCGCCAGAAAATACCAGCCGTGTAAGTTCAGCACCCGCCTCACTGTCTTGTAGAGCCCACAAGCTGTCAGTCGCTGACCGGACCGTCTGCAGTGTGGTGAGCTGCAGATCAGCTTGTAGGACCACATCCTGTAGGGCATCCACAAACACAGCGGCCAGGTGAAGAACACATCTGGCGATGCTGGAGGCTGATGATACTGCAGACGTGGCTGGGGAGGGTACCACCACATCTGCAGATTATCCGTCAGCACGCGCACTCTGTAGGTGTTTTGTTTGCTTTTCGCGATATACTCAATAATATCAAATCGCACATCGTTAGAACAACAATTACGATATTAATCGCAGATCATACATATCGCACACCCCTATTCTGTTTAGATTTTTATAATGCATTGTCTTCTTATCGATCCACCAGTTCACATTTAAAGCGTGTTTGCAGGGTAAAAACATGGGTCGATTTTCGCATTGGTCTGAAATCTGTCTGAACAAAACAACAGTTTTATTTAAAATGCTCATTCATTCTCTGACAGCAGGTGGAGCGTTTGGTAGAAATATAACTGTTTCCCGGGTAACGGCAAAACACAAAGCAGCACAGCACCGGACTTTGAACCTGCAGCGCTCATGTTTATTTCATGAAATCATAACGTTAGCCTTTTGAAGTTTGTCACATTCAGCCATATCGCAATTCTGGTCTTTCCGTCCCCAAATTTAAGGCCTCTTGAAATCATAATTAAGACTTTCTTGAACAATTTAAGACTTTTCAAGGCCTTAAATTTGATACAACTAAATGTAAGACTTTTTAAGACTTTAAGACCCGCGGAAACCCTGATATACACAAGCACACTTCTGGTGTGAAAACTGTACCTCAGAAGCCGCTGACACCAGCCTTTGAGCGGTTCTTTGCTCAAGCGAGCTGAGCGGATTGGCGTTGAAGGTGGTGCTGGTGGTGGAAGTACTGTGAAGAACACATCATTTAAATTTTGTAATCAGTACTAATGATTTAATTATTTTCAGTTTATAGGCATTTATGGTTACATAATACTATATGACACAAAAGACACTCTATAACACTCACCCTGTGGCTCCGCCTCCATGACTGAAGCCAGAAGATCTGCATCTGTTGGCTCTGAGTGCAGAAAATTGACAATGTTATTTATAATTACATTAGAACGTGCATAGAATTAAGCCAGGTATAGATCTAAAAACTCACCGTGTGCTGTGGCTGGCTGGGAATGGGAGCTTTGGGTGGGAGGAGGAGAAGCCGGACGTGAAGGGTGCGGGACAGGCTGGGATGCAGAAGATGGCTTTTTTCTCTCTTCAGCCCTAATTTTCTTCTGGTCCCTCTGCAAGATGTATTTCTTCAGGGCATCCATCTTGCTGCCTGCGCTGGTTTTCTTGTTTCTAATGAACTCCACATAGCTGCAGAAAAAACAAAATAATATACATGAATGATTAGAGTAAAATACATACAAAAC